CAACCCCGCTCACTGAAACTGAGGAGGACCTGAAGCGCTTGCTGCAGAAGAGCAAGCAAGGACTGCAGCCTCCTTTATGGACTGAAGCTCAACATCAGGAAAACAAAGATTCTCACCACTGGGCCAATTGGCAGCATCAGTATGGATGGTGAAGAGATTGAGATAGTTAAATTTTAGTTTACCTGGCTCAATCAACATTCTTGGTAACAGCAGCATTCTTGGTAACAGGAAATCAAGAGAAGAATTGCATTGGGTAAGTCAGCTGTGAGGGACCTCTCAAGAGTATTGAAGAGCAACAACATAAGACTGGAGACTAAGGTGCGCCTGATCTGGGCTATAGTCTTCACAATTACATGCTATGCATCAGAGAGTTGGACAGTGAATAGGAATGATAGAGAAATGATGCCTGTGAGCTGTGGTGCTGGAGATAAGTGTTGAATATACCATGGACTGCTTGGAGAACAAACAGGTTTGTCCTGGAGAAGGTGAAGCCGGAATGCTCATTGGAGTCAAGGATTCTGAAGCTTCATCTGACATACTTTGTTGCAAGGAGGGACTGGTCCTTAGAGAGGGACATCATGTTTGGCAGAGTGGAGGGGCGGCGAAGGAGAGGAAGACCTTCGATGAGATGGATCGATTCTGTGACTGGAGCAGTGAGAGTAAGTGCATTTGAGATGGCTAGGTTGGCACAGGATAGAACGGCGTTTAGGGCTCTTGTACATAGAATTGCTATGAGTCACAAGCGACTTGATGGCACATAATAACAACACCCCACCCCACCCCCAGTTCACTTTTTACTTTGGAAGAAAAGTTCTTTCATTGTTATACACACACACACACACAGACCACTTTCCTGTGAAGCTCTTATTCTGTACTCTTGTTGGGTTTTTATATTTCTAATCAGATTTATTCTGTTTCTTCTCATAGATTAAGCCCAATCTTGCTAAACTTTGTAGAATGGCCCGGGCCTGGAGTCTCTTTGGAAAAGCAGAACGCTGTGATACAAGACAGACTCTGGAGGCACCCGTACCTCCCTGTGAGCCAACATGAGACAAGAATCACTGATCCATAAGGATCCAAAGAGCTACTGGTCACGTGCCTGAGGGTGAAGCATGAGCACTGTCAGCACCTGAGTGAGCCCGGTGCACTGCAGCAGCCCGAAGATGGCAGGGCTCTGCTCGTCAGTCTCCTGCGGGCAGATGAGCTCCAGGACGCAATTCAGGCACGAAAAAAAATCCATTAATTTATTTATTTGTATCCATGGACTCTGGAAGTTAACAAAAATCTACTGTTTGTAACTTATTTAGGAATAAAATTTGATAATTGCCTTGCTGCTTGGTTTGTGTGGTTTGATTTTTTTGACGAGGGTGTGCAGTTTGTTCCCAGCCTCAGACTTTGCAGCTCCATCATTTAACCTGGCTTGAAGCTGCCAGGATGATGTGTGCAGTCCGGGCCCACTGAGTGCTCCATTAGACACTTCCTCTCCCTGCAGTTGCCTTCATTCCTACAGCCGCAAAACTTCAGTTCTGGACTGAGACTTCTCAGTGATCATTCACTGGTGTCATCCTGCAGGCCTTGTGGGACTGAGTCTCTTAGAGATAAAAGCTACTGATAGAAGAAAGGACGAAGCTAGAATGTTGTTTTTGTTACATACCATCAAGTTGGAGGTGACTCATAGCTGGCCCTCCAGCCGGCTTTTGTTGTTGTTA